CACTCTCACCATCTCCACATCACCTCACCTCCCCATCCACTGCCAATTTCCCCACTTCCTATTAATACAGGTGATAATTAACACCTGTCTCTATACCTGGGCTTCACCTGTAGAGTGGCTGGGTTTTTTTTAACTCTGAATTATTACTAGAGGAGGATAACTGTACGAAAGGTTGTTGATAAAAGGTGTAATAAAGATATACAGCTCCTCCCAGCCCACTCACTCACCCTCGTCTACACATCAACAAAACTTTCTTAATCGTTTATATATTTAGTCTTCTCTAAGTTTCTCAGATGCAGATAAATTCGTCAATAATTTCTCCGTTTTGGGGGGCAACATTTTGTATCATATAAATGTTCTTGGTTCACCCAGACCCTCGACTACCACAAGACTGATGCATTGGACTAATTAAGCCTCTCCGTCACCTCACTACAACGAGACCTCTTGTTATGGTACACGGGCGTATACACTCAAGGTCCTTAGCTATGATTGACAGCCGAGTAGATTCAATGTTGTCTCTGTCTCTGCATCTCTCTTTTACTTTAAATATCTCTCCTTTCTGTTTATCTGCTAATCGTTCCCTCCTCTCTCTCTCTCTCTCTCTCTGGTAAGTCGAGGTCAAGTCACCGCCAGAAAGGAGTCAGACGTGACCACAACAACATCTAATATTAGTACTGCTGGACCACAAACGACCCCGAGTGTTGGAGTCGCGTCGTCATTTGCCGCACCTCTAAACTACTAACTCTATTTATAGGGGACAGGTCTTAAAATTTTAGGATGTCTTTAATTTTAAGAGGTAGGTCCTTAATTGTAGGGGACAGGTCCTTAAATTTTAGGGAATGGGTCCTTAAGTTTTAGGGGTGGGTTTTTAAGGTTTAGGGAGTGGGTCTTTAAATTTTAGGGAGTGGATCCTTAAAAGAGATAGATACCCTTACCAAAAGATATATCGATAAAGATTTAGTGATATTCAGTGTTGATGGGTCGTAGGGTGAATTCTCTTCCTAGTAGCTGCAGACATACGAGCGCATCGAACCTAAAACACAAATTAGCCTAAATGATATCAACAATATACGCTAAAGCTCCGCAGTGAAGGAGACAATAAAACCGAATATAATCTATATATACACCATGACATTTGTGAAGGAACGGCGGCATTGTCAAGGAATCGCGGCTGTAAAATGCTGTTCGTGATGCTGTAGGTTCCTCTGTGGACGTGAGGATTACACTCTCACCTTCACCTGTCACAAGACCTCCCAGCCTCACGCCGGGTACCTGCAGGGGACAGTTGACGTCTCACTTATTAACAAACGTCGAAAACTCAGGTGTTACCGAAGGAATAATAAGTTGTATACCTGTATCGTCGAGCAAGAAGCTACTTCTCATACTGGAGTATCCGGGAAGGACCACCTTGACGGGCAAGCACTGGACGAACTAATGCGGCACGACACGCACACACACAGACGTCGGGTAACTCCGGGAAAACACGATATCAGTCAGCAGGACATCAAACCACAGCAACACATTCATGGTTTTCCCCAATGACCGCATATTTCTACACTACCCTTCCTGCCCGCTGGATCTGACGCACCCTCACACACCCAACACACCCTCTTCTTTCCCAGTACGCCTAACTCCTTGTAATACACTTGTTGTTAAAAAGATCTGACATTTTTATGAGAGACAAGTACGTTTTAATGTATTTCTTTATCGCATCGAGATAATGGTTGGTTATTTTCTTCATCACCTGTGAGAAAGGTTGAGGTTGAACTTAATACATCACGAGAAGAAACATAGAGGACGACCTTTACCTGTGGTTAATAGAACTTGTCACTTACATGTGCCGAAAAGCAAGGTACGCGTTAACAACAGTTCATCGAGCTGAGAACAGAGACTAACGCTGACCGCTACTACACTAGAGGGAGGGGCGGGGATGTCGTGCCGATTTACGCTTCTCTCGCCACTCCCTCTCTCCTCCTCACCTTTCACTCTACCTGAAGGTCGACACTAGCCCCCTCCCTACCTTCTCCTAACGCGTCCTTAGTCTATAAACATTCAACACAGGGAGCCCACGTGAGGGAACCCCTGACCACGGGAGTAAGCGACGGGTCAGGAATGTTAAAGATACAGTACAGTATATAAATGAATCGAACCTATCACTGCATGGCAACTGACCAGGTTCATTGAGTAGTCAGTACACGTTCAGGTCGTGCCAGCGGTACCAAATCATCCACAAGGAGGGCAAACAAATTGACCTTGGACGGGGAAGAATCAAGAAAGTCGTATATGACCTTCCGTAACTGACCCGAGGCGTTCTGCAGGGTGGGTATGGGTATGGGATACTCCTCGTCTGGTTGATAATTTAATGGAGAAATTTGTTTACACTTGTTCGTCCATCCCTTACTTATATTTTACAGAAGCTCGTGTGATACTTGTAATCGCCGTTGGGGCTCCTGTGTCAAGGTTGTCCACAGTCGACGATGATTGCACGAGCGTTTTTTTTTTTGCTCACACACACACACACACACACACACTGAGGTATTTGTACTGGTATTTTAGTAGTGAGTTTTGTGCTTACTCAAGGATGTTGTTTTTGTGATTAATAATAGATACGAAAGGGAAGATAAATGTGTAGTAATGGGCATAGAGGCGGATTGGTAGTAGCAGTAATAGTAGTGGTGGTGGTAGTAGTAGTAGCGGTAACACCTGCAGCCATACTGTTATCATAGTAGTCTGAATAGAGATATTGGTCCTAGTAATAAATATAACAATACCGCCGTTAGCAGTCTTGGTGTCCGGGTGTGGTGACCAACGCAACAACACTGAACACAAACATTAACACCTTCTTGACCACGTAACAACGAAAGAGACTGTAGTTACGACAAAAGAAAAGTCACTATAGTTAGTTACACTTTTGTCAGTGATAAGTACACGCGTTAGAACAATGGAAGTGTAATAGAAGTGAAAATCCCACACTGAAAGACAGAAATTTTACATAATACTTTTCCGCTGGCCACTGGACGCCTTTTTACGTCGCGAAATAAGGTCACAGATGAACAAACATATACAGTATATATTTCTTAAGCGTCAGGTAACATAATTAACATTCACATCACAGTAAATAACATGACCCCCCCAATATGGTAACACTGTCTTGGTGGTGGGAGCGACAGGCAGTACAGTAGAGTCTAAGATCAAGTCGCATACTCTAAAAAGGTTCTAATCCCATTCATTCGATCTCTAGGACTGATAACTCTGCGTGTCTATTGTTATATTATCCTTCATGTCTTACTTTATCTCTAATCCGTTACTTATACAGTACTTGTCTTGTTACTTATACTTGTATTCAATGGCCGTGTTTACTTACGACGTCACTACTGGGGGTTGGAGATCAAGTGGCTGTCGAAATTATATTGTTTTCCATATATGTTTCTGTCTTTTTTAATGATGGGATGAATTCTAAAGTTTCTATTGAAGTTATTGTGTTTATTCTTGCCAAGTAATTGTTGACATGAATAAGGTTATGATCGTTGTAATGGATGATAAAAGACTAGTCATGGTCAAAGTAATTTCTGTTTCATTCATTCTTACAGTTCAATTTAGTCAATCACAATAGTCTAGTTGTCTTTTCATTCTTCTGTACATCATTTCTTGATTTTAATGACGTGAGATAATAACAGCGTACAGTCTTACCCAATGATTACTGGTGAAGCGAACGAAAAAAAAATGACAATCGATTAGTGACGTCATCTGTTATACATAGATATTGTATAAAATTTTTGTCTCGTCACCAATTTTACTCTTTTTAATGTCCCTGTAATCAGACTAGCGGTGTATGTCAGGCTCACAAAACTTACATCGTAAATTGTGAAGTAATTATGTGTACTTTTTGTGTCATAGTAAATACACACACACACACACACACACACACAGTACGACCAGATGCGACCCTCTATTGCCAAAACGACTCCTACATGTACTATCAAAAGGTCCCCCTAATCTAAAAACAACCCTCTATTTTCAAAATATCCCTTACATTTAAAACAACCCAAAACGACTCTCACTACTTTCAAAACGACTCTCTACTCTCAAAACGACCTCCACTACTCCCAAAACGACTCTCACTACTTTCAAAACGACTCTCTACTCTCAAAACGACCTCCACTACTCCCAAAACGACTTTCACTACTTTCTAAACGACTCTTTACTCTCAAAACAACCTCCACTACTCCCAAAACGACTCTCACTACTTTCTAAACGACTCTCTGCTCTCAAAACGACCTCCACTACTCCCAAAACCTCTTTCACTAAAAAACAACCCCTTGACTCTTAAAACGACTCTTTCTATTCTACAATCACCTTCGTAACTCCCAACACGACCCTTCTCTCAAACGACTTAAAACACACCCACACAACACCATAAGTCGTCTTGACATCAATAGCCATACGACTCCACCTCGCTCCACACTGGACTGAACTTCGGGTGATGACTCTAGGATGGATGGCTGCTTAAAGACACACACACACACACACACATTATGACTGGAGAGATTGACTGTCACTTGCAGTATCATTCTTCACTGGGAGAGATTTTTGCTTGAGGTTTTGCTACTCGTACACCTTCACACACGAATGAGTTCCTTCTGACACAATTTCTAACTGTTCATTAGTTTTGTCAATTATCGGTATTTGATGTAGTAATTGCGTTCACACTTTCACCTGTTGTTGCGAGAGTTTTACCTGTTAGATTTACCTGTCTACGTTTGTCGTGGGTTTAGTGTGGGATCACAAGCTTTGTCGAGTATTTGTACATCTGTTACATATTTTTTCAAACCTATCAAAAAAATTTACCGATACAAATTCTATTACGAAGTCTATGTCATATAATTTCTTCTTAATATCATATAAGTTGGTTTCAGATCTCTTAAAAACACAGTCGTGCCCTTCAGTTCCCCCAACACGGCATTCATATAACCTGTTGCTATATTGTAGAAGAGACTCACCTGCCTCACCTCCACGTTGTCTCGTCGTTAATCAGTTTTTTGTTGAACCCTTTATGAGGTGAAGAGAGATGCAACACTCACACACGTTATCTATCACTGGTTTTGGTTTTGTTAGTGAATTGACTGAATGAAAACAACACTGAATTGTTTCTTGGTTGTTGGAAGAGGAAGATTGAAGGAGCCGTCACCCACCTGTTCACCCGGGACGGCCACCACACTAACTGACAAACACCGACCTACACACACACCATGGTCTCCAGCTCAACTCCTCCTCCCCCCCCCCCTTCCTTCTTCCCCCCCTTCTCCTCCTTCTGGGGGATGCTTGCCGCCCGCCCACCCATCCTATTCTCCGCCCATCCATCTATCCTATTCCTCGCCCACCCACCTTCCCACCAATCCATTCCTTACACCGCCCACCCGCCCACCCACCCACCCACTGTCCCACTCCAGTACTCACACCTCGACCATATTAAAACCCCACACACCTCACTTTTTTTTTGTAGGGAAAGGAGGAATGAAGGAAGATTAGAGGTGGGGGAAGGAAGTTATAGTTCGGAAATTGAAGAAATTCAGGAGGAGGTAAGAGAGGGCGGGCTGACCGCCTAGCTAAGCTAATAGTGTGTTTGGGTTGTGTCATGGGTTAGTTATTGTCTGCCGGTACAGGCACTAGACAGCCTACCCTGTCCCATTTATGGGTGTTTTAAGGGCCTTATTTCATATTCCGCCGACCCTACTGGCGGATGCTGGTCTAGGGAGGTTGTCTATTGCCTGGCCGTGTAGATCGGGGGTGGTAATGGACCTTTTGAGATTTCGTAGCTTTTTGGGAACCATGTATGGTTGTTGTCGTTATCTGGTGGGAGTCTTTGAAGGAGTTCTTGCTCTGATCGTTCTATCTTTTGCCAGATTCTGCTGGCCAGGGTGTGCAGCTGCTGGTTGATGGGTTTCATTCTCAGGTCTCTATGTATCTCGGCTGTGGTTCTGGTGAAGGGGTATCTTTCACCTGTGACGAATCTTAGGGCTTCATTTTGGACCACCTGTAATTTTAATATTTGAGTGGTGCTCATAGTATGAAGAGGTATTGCTGGGTAAGTTAATATCGGTGTGATAAATGATGTCACCAGGCGGAGTTTTATTTTCTCAGGAAGCGCTTTAAAGCGGTATAGTTTTCTCAGCTCTCTTCTTGCTTTTTCCTTCCTACTGTGGACATGATGGGAGTAACCTGTCGTGGATATATGTAGGCCCAGGAGGGTGCCTCTGCTTTTGTATTCTATCTGGGCATTATTGGTTACTAATGGATGGGTTTTCCTTCTGCATAAGGGTATCACTGTGAATTTCGGGAGACTGGTTTGGATTTTCCATTGTTTTTCGTAGTTATTTACCCTTTCTAATTCCCGCCTGGTGTTTTCGGCCTGTAACGCTCGCGATTTTCCTTGATGTGTTGTTATTTGAGTGATGTCGTCTGCATACATAATATCTTCGTTACCTATTCTAGTGGGAGGCGGGGTGTCACTTGTGTAGATAATATATAGGGTGGGGGAGAGGACGCTTCCCTGAGGGACTCCACTCATGAGTGGGAAGGTCTCTCCTGTGTGTTGTCCTACCCTCAGTCTGCATTTCTGCCGTCAAGAAAGTTGCAAAGCAACTTTTCAATGTTGGTGGGAAGTCCGAGTTGGAGGATCTTATATTTTAGACCGTCGTGCCAGACTTTGTCAAATGCCTTCGCTACATCCCGGAGAGTTAGATTACATTGTCTACCACTCGCCGCGGCTCTGGCTATGTTTTCACATGCCAGGGCTATCGCTGTTGTGGTGGACTTCCCTTTCCTGAACCCGAATTGTCTGCAGTTGACTCTGTTTGTTGTTTCCAGGTGATTTCTCAGACGGTTATTGATGATTTTTTCTAGGATTTTTCCAGGTACTTCGAGGAGGGAGATCGGTCTGTAGTTTAGTGGGACGGCGGGGTTCTTTCCTTGTTTTGGTGTTAGGGTAATAATGGCCTCTTTGAATTTAGTTGGGAAGTAGCCCGAGGCCAGGCAAGCGTTCATTGTGGTTCTCAGTCTCTCCATGGCCGGGTTGTTTATGTGGCTGAGGATCTCCTTGGTGATGCCTGAATAACCAGGGGCTTTATTTTTGGTATTGGAGATGGCTCTGTTGAGTTCTTCCGAGGTGATTGGTTTGGACAATGGGCTGTCCGCTCTCAGATCCTCCCATATGATTTCAGGGGAAGGCTGAGTGCGGTGTGTCTGGCCCCGGAGTTCATCAAGGACGAGCTCCTCGTGGGTACCATCGAATCCCCTATTCTCTTCATTTGTGATTCGGAAGATGTTCCTCCATATGTCCCTGAATATGGGTTCTTTGTCTTGGTCGTCATATATTTTACTTCCTGCGTGGTCAGTTATATATGATGACTCGTTATGGCTGCAATCTTTCAATCTCTTAACTCGACGCCAGAACTCTCCTGGATCGTTGTATGTATGTGAGAGTTGTTCAACTATTTCGGCCCATTTAAGGTTGCTTTGTTCCAGAGATCTTGTTTTTATTTCCTCCCGGATTCTTCTGTACGTATTGCAACTTATGATGTCCCAACCATGGGTCTCGGCTCTCTGTTGTAGCAGTTGAAACTGGTTTGTGAGGGCGATGAGTTCTGGAGTCTGTTGTGGGTGTGGGAGAGTTCTGTTGCGTTTAAGAGAGGCGTGGCCTCCTGGTAGGCTGTTCCTATGGCTTCACACCATGTGTTGATTTCTTCGTCTATTATGTTCACCGGCTTTGGGGCTGATGCTCTCGTTCCCCTGAGGCAAAGCAATGCAGACCTAAGCAGAGAGAAGGACAGTCGACATCTCATCCAGGCTGCAACATAACTTCCAGGCTGCTGCTTCCGTTCAGATAACACCTCTGCGAGTCTGGCGTAGAAGCATCTTGCACTTGGTCCCATCCCGCCAGAGGAGTGAAGCTGCCTTGACCAACGTTTTGAATTCTCTCCCCGTATGCCCTTATCTTGTCGTTCTCGTTCCTCCTGTGAGCAGCATCGAGAGCTAAGTTACGGTGACATGCGGCCATGGGATAAAAAATCTTGATGTCGAAGAAGGCTCGCTGTCCCCGCGTCCAGAATCCTCGAGCACTGACGTCAACACGGGCTTCGTTGGATGTGTTTGAAGTCCTATGTTGGAAATTCTCACCATCCAATGGAAGGAGGGTCGGTTCTACCCTGACATCACGGCAGATTTCCTTCAACATATTTGCTGTGAGATACCTTACATCGTCATGCCTCATGCATATGAAGCCCCCTTTCTTGCACACCATGGCGTGATCGACGTCATAGGAAGAGCCACACACGCATTGGGAGGGCAAACCTTCTACTGGCCTACCGTACCTTAGAGCATTGGCATCTGTAAATTCTACTACTATTATTATTACTACTACTACTACTATTTTTAAACGTGGCCTCTAGCCTCCCCCGATAGCCACACAAACGCCGCCATTTTATTGCCTTAAAATTAAATCGACTGATACAAAAATAGCTCCCCTAGCAGTGCTGAGTTAGTTAAACTGCAGATCTATGCGGCATTCAGTGACTATTGCCTCATAGTCACACACACACACACACTAGCTAGCAACCAACTGCTAATCAGCTGAGGTAGGACTGGTACCTGGAGTGAACTGGTTGACCCCACCCAAGTGAAAGGCCCAGCTGTCACAAGCAAGTGTATCATAGGTGTCAGACAGGTGTACTACAGGTGTGAGAAGGGTGTACTACAGGTGTCAGACAGGTGTACTACAGGTGTGAGAAGGGCGTACTACAGGTGTGAGAAGGGTGTACTACAGGTGTCAGACAGGTGTACTACAGGTGTCAGACAGGTGTACTACAGGTGTGAGAAGGGTGTACTACAGGTGTGAGAAGGGTGTACTACAGGTGTGAGAAGGGTGTACTACAGGTGTCAGACAGGTGTACTACAGGTGTGAGAAGGGTGTACTACAGGTGTCAGACAGGTGTACTACAGGTGTGAGAAGGGTGTACTACAGGTGTGAGAAGGGTGTACTACAGGTGTCAGACAGGTGTACTACAGGTGTGAGAAGGGTGTACTACAGGTGTCAGACAGGTGTACTACAGGTGTCAGACAGGTGTACTACAGGTGTCAGACAGGTGTACCATCGGCGAGTCTCTCTCCCCCCACCAAAGCATCACGTGGTAACTCGCGCTCTCCCCCTTGTCCCTAATAGCGTAGGTAACCTCCCTCACATGATCACCTGACTGACTCCCTCCCTCCCCCTCTCCCTCCCTCCCTCCTTCTCACTGTCACCCAATCCCACTTTTACTCTCTAGTTTCCTTCTTCCCTTCCCTTCCCTCCCTCCCTTCCCTTCTCTGTCATCACCTCTTACAGTACCTCCCATTCTTCCTCTTCACTGACTCCCTTCCCCATGCCTCTGCTTTCTCTCTCCTTCTCTCTAGTACCAATAATATCCCTATTTCCCCCTCTCCCTCCTTCCCTCCATCCCTCCTTCCCTCCACTTTGTATATCTTAACTAGATACATTAATTCAACACCGATTGGATAAAGCACTCACATCCCGACCTAAAGACCGCTGGTTCGCATTCACCCAGCTATGAACGAGTACCTAACCTTACTGTTGAGGAAGTGAAGGATGTCGTGTGCAGTGTTTGCTACAGTGCCTCCTTATATAATGAAGGATTAATACTCAGTGTCCTAATGGATAAACAGGTGTATGGGACGAGCTACCAGGTGAGAAGTGTATAATGTTTAGAATAAAAGAGAAGCAAAACGTTGGATTATGATGAGGGTAAGATTAACATATCAGTGAAAGGTTGCAAAAGTTGTGGAGAGTATACAAGTGTTTCTAGGAACTGGTTCTTGGTTACCTTGGCCCTTACTTGTGAGAAAATGGGAATCTAACACACGGGAGAAAGTCATTGTTAAGTTAGTTTATGTTAGGCATGTTGTCGCTAACTTATTATTGTTGTTGCTGTTGTTATTATTATTATTATTATTATTATTATTACTATTATTATTAGTAGTAGTAGTAGTAGTAGTAGCAGTAGTAGTAGTAGTAGAAGTAATTAGTAGTAGTAGGAAATAGTAGTAGTGTGTGTGTGTGTGTGTGTGTGTGTGTGAGACAACAGTCACTGAATGCCGCATAGATCTGCAGCTTAACTAACTCAACACAACTAGGGTAGCTATTTTTGTATCAGACTATTTAATTTTTAGGCGATAAAAT